ACAGGGGCCCACACCACACCCTGCTAATTTTTGTATTTTTAGCAGAGACAGGGTTTCACCGTGTTAGCTAGGCTAGTCTCAAACTCCTGACCGCAAGTGATCTGCCTGCCTCGGCCTCCCAAAGTGCTGGGATTACAGGCATGAGCCACCACATCCAGCCTGTTTCCATTTATTGGTCACGCCATTTCATACTTATCTCTTCCAAATAAGATGAAATGTCAAAATTTGGCATAGAAGCTATGAAACTATAAACTCAGACCAAAACAGAATGATCTTTGCTGGTGTAATTTTTCATATACATTAATACTGGTTTAATGAAGATGGCTCCGTCTTGAATTACTTAGTATAATCTCATGGCCTTAGGTACTCTCTGGCTCACAGATATGAAGGAGGTTTGTTCTGGGAAAGGACTGCTACTGTCTTTGTTTCAAAGCTAAACTATAAACTAAGTTAACGAACAAGAGCAGCTTGGAGGTTAGAAGTGAGGTGGAGTCAGATCCTTTTCACTGTCTCAGTTATAATTTGGCAGTTATAACTTTAAATGATGACTATTGCAGTTTTCATAAATTAGGTAAATGATTAAAATAAATAATTAGGTAAATGTAATGGGCTAAATATTCATAAAACGCTTGTCATAATTTATAATCTAAAGTTAAATTAAAAAATAGATATTTCATTATTTGGACATTTTTCTTTGTCTTTTCTTTTTTTTTGAGACGGAGTTTCGCTCTTGTTACCCAGGCTGGAGTGCAATGGCGCGATCTCGACTCACTGCAACCTCCGCCTCCTGGGTTCAGGCCATTCTCCTGCCTCAGCCTCCTGAGTAGCTGGGATTACAGGCACGCGCCACCATGCCCAGCTAATTTTTTGTATTTTTAGTAGAGACGGGGTTTCACCATGTTGACAAGAATGGTCTCGATCTCTTGACCTCGTGATTCACGCGCCTCGGCCTCCCAAAGTGCTGGGATTACAGGCATGAGCCACTGCGCCCGGGCTGGACATTTTTCAATAAAAATATAGGAAAACGTTCTTTCTAAAAATTGTGTCCTTTTAAAAGTGTAAATGATTTTTGTCTAATTTAAAGCTTATTTAAAGGTTACATATAAAACAAGGTAAAAGAAATAGGAAATAAGAGATGTAAAGAAAGTTATAAAAGTAGGATTGGGTGCGGTGGCTCAACCCTGTAATCCCAGCACTTTTCGGAGGCTGAGGTGGGTGGATCACCTGAGGTCAGTAGTTTGAGACCAGCCTGACCAACATGGTGAAACCCTATCTCTACTAAATACAAAAAATTAGCCGGGCGTGGTGGTGCATGCCTGTAATCTCAGCTACTTGGGAGTCTGAAGCTGGAGAATTGCCTGAACTCAGGAGGTGGAGGTTGCAGTGAGCTGAGATTGCACCGTCACGCTCCAGCCTGGGCAATAAGAGCAAAACGCTGTCGCCATAAAGAAAAAAAAAGTTATGAAAATGAAGACAGTTTTAAAGATTATTAGTAAAATAAAATTGTCTTCAAAAATGTAAACATTTGGTCTAAATTATGCAGGTCAAATATTGGGTTTGCCTGGTTATGTATACACCTGTGCAACAACCCTGCATGACCTGCATGTGTTCCCCGGAACCTAAAGTAAGAAAAGTACTGGGTTTGCTAAATGTTTTAGGTCATAAACTGCTTGTCTGACCTAAAAATTGTTCAATTTATTTTGGAGCAGTAGGTTCTAGATAAGGCCTAAGGACATGTGAAATTAGCCATGCTCCCTAGCTATGCAAAAGGTGTTAAAGAAGAAAGATTTTATACAAGAAAGGATCTTGTATGGTGAATTCTTATCCTAAAGTAAAGTGACTGTTTGTTTAAAAAGCGGGCTGTTGGCTGGGCGCAGTGGCTCACGCCTATGATCCCAACACTCTGGGAGGCTGAAGCGGGTGGATCACTTGAGGTCACAAATTCAAAACCAGCCTGATTAACATGGTGAAACCCCATCTCTACTGAAAACACAAAGTTAGCTGGGCATAGTTAGCATGTGCCTGTAATCCCAGCTACTTGGGAGGCTGAGGTAGGAGAATAGCTTGAACCTGGGAATCAGAGGTTTCAGTGAGCTGAGATCGTGCTATTGTACTTTAGCCTAGACAACAAGAGCGAAACTCCATCTCAAAAAAAAAGAGGGGTGTTTTGGACAAGTCAGAAAGTCCACACATGTTGTGGATCGTCTGTGTTAGTCATGAAAGAATTTATACGAAGGAATTATGTAAAAGTGTGCAATTTAAAGATGATTAGGCCTTCTAAATGCTTCATAAAATGCCACCATGACTCTTAACTATACAGCTTCCCTGCTTCACAGCTAGGTAAGGCCTGGGACTCATGGAGTTAGATGCTGGAAACAGTCAGACCTTATCTGCACTTCTGTCTAGGTTCTAGGCTCCACACCTAGTACATAATTAAAATCCTAAACTCACCAAAATTCTCACCAAAGATGTAAGAATCAACAGGGTAACATGTATTTGAAACTACTGAAGAACAGTTTTACATGCAAGGAGTGTAAGGAAAGTAGAATATATCTTTGCTAAAAAGATTATAAGAAGGCATGGGAATGTAGGTTTCTACCTAATTAAAAGGTTAAAGGATTGGCTGGGAGTGGTGGCTTACATCTGTAATCCCAGCACTTTGGGAGGCTGAGATGGTCAGATCACCTTAGGTCAGAATTTTGAGACCAGCCTGGCAAACATGGTGAAACCTCATCTCTGCTAAAAATACAAAAATTAGTTGAGTGTGGTGCTGCGTGCCAGTAATCTCAGTAATCTCAGGTACTCAGGAGGCTGAGACAGGAGAATCGCTTGAACCCAGTAAGTGGAGGTTGCAGTGAGCCAAGACTGCACTACTGCACTCCAGCCTGGGTGACAGAGTGATACTCTGTCTCAAGAGAAATAAATAAATAAAATAAAAGGTTAAAGGATTATTTTAAGTTGGATGAAATAAAGCTGAAGGTTTAAACAAATTGTGGAAGGTTTATGAGAAAATTAATTGTAAATGAAGTTTTGTGTGTGAACATATTGGCTAAGTTAAAGGGGTATCATCCAGTGTTTCTGTAAATTGAGCATTAAAATAAAAGCAGAATGGGTTTCTCTTAGAGCACTAACCTGCTTTTTAACAAAAATTATAAAGGGCTCTGAAAGGTTTATGACAATCTTACCTTATGGTCAAACATTGAAATGGAGTAAATATGTCTATTAGGTTTTATTTTATTTTTTATTTATTTATTTTTGAGACGGAGTTTTGCTCTTGTTCCCCTGGCTGGAGTGCAATGGCGCGATCTCGGCTCACCTCCACCTCCTGGGTTCAGGCAATTCTCCTGCCTCAGCCTCCCGAGTAGCAGGGATTACAGGTGCGCGCCACCGTGCCCAGCTAATTTTTTGTATTTTTAGTGGAGACGGGGTTTCACCATGTTGACCAGGATGGTCTCGATCTCTTGACCTCGTGATCCACCTGCCTTGGCCTCCCAAAGTGCTGGAATTACAGGCTTGAGCCACCGCACCCGGCGTCTATTAGGTTTTATTAAGAATTGGGTTTAACATTAATAGTATACTAACATAAAGGTGAAATTTGGCTGCTTTGGTGCAAAAATCATATAGGAAGCATTGTCAAATATAAAATGATGTTTGAATTTTTTTTTGTATAAATATTTGTATTTGTATGAATATGGTATTGGTATATGTTCCAAAGTTATGGGAGACTCTTTTAATTCTGATATTTCTTAGCATACATTATCAACAATAAGTATAATTGTTAGGTTAAATTATCGTGTGCCACAGAGGTAACAAATTCCCTCGTCAATTGTGTCTTTGACTATGGCTACCGTAAAATTTTGTCATCCATGAACCATTGTTGTCTTGTTTTGTTCCTCTTTAGGAGGTGATTATATGATTATTGATAAAGCTTAACAAGTACTCTTCAATGCAGACTTCTGATAACTTTGGAGAGTGTGACATCAGAAAAGAGGGAAATGTTCAGGAGGCTCAGAGAGCTAAAATGTTCATTGTTATCAAGCAAGACAAGAATTAACTATATGAACTGAACTAATAGGAGACTGAAGTGATCTTTTTGATTTTTGCTTAAAACGTTGCCGATCCTTTGTTTTGCTTTTCAGAGTGAAGGGAACTTTTCTTTTGAGCTATTGACAGCTTTTAACAATTAAGTAAAGTGTACTCTTATGAGCAAAATTTGGAGCATATTTGTTTCTCACTACCTGATTTCTTCAGAATTTGAAAACTATTTGTGAGTATTCTTAATTTATGGCAGTATAATTATTTGTGTAAGTGCAATAAAAATCTGTTTTCTTTTGTAACAGGACACAATCGAAAAAACTGGTTATTTTACCAAGGCTTTGATTGGAATGATGTGCTTTCCTTTGAGGAATCAAATTTGACTAATGGAGCCAATAAAGCTCTTGAAAACCAGCCTCATATTTTGTGTACAGAGTTGCTGTCCAGGGATTCTGACCTGTGATAAGTAAAGAATGTCACTTTCTGACAGGCCGGTAGCCCCAAGTTATCTTGGAATCTAGAGAGGAATTTGCCCAACTCACAGTATTTGAGGGTACAGATCCATGGCTAGGCCCAGCCTTGAAAGGTCTTATCTCAGATTCCTTCTGTGGAACAGAGTTCCGTCAAATCCAATTTCAAAGGCCTATGTGAAAAATAATTATTCTTGCTGCACTTCATACAAATAATCTGGCCAAGTGTAATACAGTAAATCAGTCCTACTATGATTTGTCTTTAGTAAAAATGGGAAACTGGAGAGAGAAAGATTATGTTTCAAAACTAGAGTACACCTGTTGTTAAATTCCAGTCTTGTCTGATGTTTTTCAATTTTACTACTTTCTAGTTTTGAATTCTAATTTTTCTGGCTGCAAGTCTCCAAAATAACGTTTTCATTTTTTTCCTTCTTCTTTCCCTTTTTCCCCATTTTTCCTAATTGGAAATCACTGAAACGCTGTGCTTTCTTACAGCCCTGCGACCTGAAGATGAGACAGCCTACACTTCAGAAGAAAACAGCAGCAACCTCTTTACTTGCATTGCTGTCGTGTATTGTTCCAAAACATCCCTTGAGCTCATACTATTATGTTTCAGCAGGCGCTGTCTCTAAGCCCCCAGACAGAGAGTGCTACTGGGAGCAAATTGACCTCTTCCACTCTTCGGGGCATTCAGTGCCCCGAAACAATGACCCCCTTCTCAGCAGGAAGTAGCCAGAAAGATTACAATGCCCCATCTCCCTACAGTTCTCATGATAAATAAATATACAAGCATGATAGAAATAATGAGCAAATTGACAGTGAGGGTGGTGACGGACTGGGTCTCACTAACGCAGGCCTCCACAACAACTGTTCCAGTACTGGGTGAGTGGCTAAGTTAAATATTAAAAGCTGAAAGAGCCAGCACCCTTATACAAAGGCTGGAATGTAATAAAAGCCCACCAGAGTTTTGCCCAGGCCTTTCCTGGGCTTTAAAACATGATGAGATAATAAAGGAATTCTTAACGGGACCTGTTTAGGATGAAACAAGTTTTACTGGGGGTCTGAAGAAACTCCCCAGGCCTCCACAAACAAGCTTTATTGGGGACTAAAGGAACTCCCTAAACCTCCATGATTCAGCAAGAGGCAAGATACGAGTAATCACCCTGTCATCTGGACCCAGCTAGATTAAGTACATTTACTGAGGCTCCAGAGGAAGGTCTTCAAGATCAGACCTTAGTTATACTTCAGAAGAAGTCAATTGCTTATGTCTTGAGATGAATGCACACTCACATGTAGACATATAGCTTAGAAGGTATGCGGTTCTGGAAAACATTGTAATTTTGAGTTGGTCTGGTGATAATCTCCAGTTACCGAAATAGAGTCCCTTTTCTCCTGGTTCATCTGCATCTTGCTACTGGGACATGAGAGTATCCGGCCTACCTTCAGTTTGGTCTGTGAACAGGAGGATTACTTGAGCTTAGCAGTTCTAGTCCAGCCTGGGCAACATAGCAAGACCCTGTCTCAAAAAGAAAGTAAGAAATGATGATATGAGTTTGCTGCTCTTTAAGTCAACGACTTTGCAGCTCTTCCTCTGAAGAGGTGGCATCTGTTTTCTCTGTTTGAGTGTGACACATCTAGGAGAATAGCTTTGAGCAGTGGTGTGGCAGATGTGACTGTAGGCCAGCTCTGAGCTGAGACTGCCAGGGGACTGCACACTTCCTCTCTCATCTCTGCCAACTGCTGCAGTGTGCCCAGGCCAGCCCGCTGGAGCACAGAGCCCAGTGCATCGGGACAGCCACAGCAACAAGGCTCGCCTGTTGCCACCACAGATGCGTGAGGGTGCCCGGCTGAGAGTAGACAAACCGCCCAGCAGGCAGCTTTTCAAATGGAGTCACAGATGAGCTCCATGGCTGTGTGAAAGCTCTCCCTGTGCCAGGACCGCACTTGGCCCCTGACAGCTTGAGCAGCCAGCTCTGTGCGTGTTGGCTGGGCTGGAGCCAGTGCATCAAGAAGTAGACGCAGAAGTGGATCACGAGTGAAACCTTCCTGAGAGCTAAGCCCCCCGGGATGCAGGTGGGAACTCTCAGCAGCGGAGGAACAACCTCCTGGCAGAACCAAAGTTTGCTTTGTGCCTTTGATGCCTCTGCTGGCCAGAGTGGTTTTCTGTCGCAAACCCGATACCATGTGTCTATTCTTTCTCATTTATTTAAAGGAGAAGAAAAAAAGTGATTATGTATGCATGCTGGTGCACAGATAACCTATTATTATTACAATGTCTTACAGGCCAGGCATGGTGGCTCATGCCTATAATCCCAGTACTTTGGGAGGTTGAGGCGGGCAGATCACTTGAGGTCAGGGGTTCGGGACCAGCCTGGCCAATATGGCGAAAACCCATCTCTACTAAAAATAAATTAGCTGGGCATGGCAGTGCGTGCCTATAATTCCAGCTCTCAGGAGGCTGAGGCAGGAGAATTGCCTGAAACCAGGAGGCTGAGGTTGTAGTGAGCTGAGATCGTGCCACTGCACTTTAGCCTGGGTGACAAGTGAGCCTCTGTTTTTTAAAAAAAGTCTTACAGATCCAAGGATGAATTTGCCTTCCTCTGTGAGAGGAGAGATGTGCTCTGATGATATAGGAGAAAACCCCAAAATCAGCGTCAGCCCACCAGCCACGCCAGCAAAGCCCCACCCAGCACACCCAGTGTGGTAGTCTGTGAGCAGCCAGGCTTCTGGGAAGGGCAGTGTTGTATGGAACCATGCTCTGCCAGGCCATGTTCTGGGGCTTCCCGTCACCCCATCTTTTGTTATCCATCACGTTTCTCCAGCGCCTCATATGAACCAGATGCCGCCTGAGGAACTGGGGTTACCAGAGCAAAGGAGACCAGGCCCCTGCACTCAGGGGGCCCAGGCTCGGGGGAGAGAGAAGACAAAAAATAGGAAAAGAAGTCAGCGAATATCAGACCGTGCTTAGCGCTGTGGAGAGAATGCGTGGCACTCGGATGCCCTGAGCAGCCCAGATGGTGCAGCCGCTGGGGTTGTGGCGCTGAGGATGTGACCCTGAAAAGATGTAGAGTTGGGAGTGAGTGGAGGCTCAGGGTTGGCAGGGGTGGTGGTGGGTGGAGAATGAGCTCTCTGTTGAGGAGCAGTGAGCAGCCACCGTGCCTGGAGCTGGGTGGGGGCTCAGGGCAAAGGGAGGCTGGCAGAGTTTGGGGAGGGGCTTCTGGCTCAGGTCAGGTGGGCTGTGACGTGGAGCGTGATGATATCCTAAAACCATTCTAAGGACACTACCAGACATTTGAACAAGGGGAGGATGGAGATCAGTTCATCTGAAAGTCTCAGAAGTAGAGTATGACATCTGTCCCTACCAGCTTGTACAAGAATGTGGATAGCAGCCTTAGTCACAGCAACCAAAAGGTGGAAACAGTCCGAAGTCCTTCAGCTGACAAGTGGGTGAACGAGGGGTGGTGCGTCCCCACGACGGAATAATGTCCAGCCCTAGGAAGTAACAAGGCACCGACACATGGGCAACCTTCAACGTGGGTGAACCTTGAGCAAGTCAGCATGAAAAAAGGCTCAACAGAAGAGTCTCTCTCTACACATTGGGTTTGCTCAGGTGTAGAAACGAGGGTCATCATTCAGAATGTATGGAATGGCAAGCCCCTAGCCCATTCAGTGAGGGAAGGCTCAGGGGAGCTTTTACTGGCAAAAGGAGATTTATATAAGCTGCTTAGAACAGAGTCCATGGGTCCCAGAGGTCCAAGGCTGGAGTTGCTGTCAGTTCATTGGTGAAGGTGCTGTTCCTGGGCAGGAGTTCTTCCAGGAGCGTCTTACCTGAGTCACTGCTGTCCTAAAGGACATCTGCTGATGACCTCATCAAAGCCCAGGACGTGCGAAGGACGCGAACGGATTTTCGGAAAGTTCTTGAAGCAGTCATCTGAGACCCTAAGTGTGAGCCTCCACTGTTTGCTTTCCCAGACCTGCTTTGTCTGGGTCTGACAAAAGTGAGTTCAGGCTGGGCACGGTGGCTCACGCCTGTAATCCCAGCCCTTCCGGGGGCCGAGGCAGGTGGATCATCCGAGGCCGGGAGTTTGAGACCAGCCAGGAAAACAGTGAAACCCTGTATCTACTAAAAATACAGAAATTAGCCAGGTGTGATGGCGGGTGCCTGCAATACCCACTACTCAGGAGGCTGAGACAACAGAATCGCTTGAATCTGGGAGGCAGAGGTTGCAGTGAGCTGAGAGCACACCATTGCACTCCAGCCTGGGCGACAAGAGTGAAACTCTGTCTCAAAAATAAAAGTGAGTTCATCTCGGTATTGGCAACATCGATAAAAACATTACACTCCATTGAAGAACAAGACACAAGAGACCGTGTATTAAGATTCAATTTCTATGAAATATAGGAATAGGCAAATCTATAGATGAACAGTTGCCTCAGCCTGGGGAGGGGAGGATGAGAGGGACTGCTGATGGCCTGGGGTTTCTTTCTGGGGTGACGAAGATGGAATTTGATAGTGGTATTGGATGTACAATTTCATGAATGCTCTAAAAACCACGGAATCATATACTTTAAAAGGGCTGCTTTATGGTATGTAAATTAATTCTCAATAAAGCTGTTTTTAAAAAAGTAGAGATTGGAGAGTTGGGGACAGGGCAGCAGGAAGAAGGCAGGCAAGGGGTGATCCTGGGACAGGAGGTGGAGGCTGGGCCAGGGTGGAGGTGGAGGAAGGGGACAGGAGGTGGAAGCTGGGCCAGGGTGGAGGTGGAGGAAGGGGACAGGAGGTGGAGGCTGGGCCAGGGTGGAGGCTGGAGGTAGAGGGAAAGGGATAGGAGGTGGTGCAGCCCTTGCTGAGGGGTTGGACATGCAGGGTAACGGAGAGAGAAAGAGCAGCGGGGAGTAAAGGGCTGGTGGAGGTGTGGGGCCGGCAGCTCCATGTTGGATTTGCCATTTCTCAACCAGCCTAGGATGACAACGGGCACTGTGTGGGGATCAGGGCAAGCAGTGGCCTAGGGTCTGGCCTCTGGAATGCTGCAGACCCGGGCTTCATCCCGGCTCCACCACGGGGACAGCTCGAGACCTTGGGCATGAAAGTTAATTTCTCAAGGTCTCCCATTTGTAAAATGAGGATAATGTGTGCTATGTTGAATGTCCCTTCAAAACTAGGGCTGAAACTGTCCCCACTGGGGCCGTATTGAGAGGCGGGCCTTTGAGAGGAGATTGGACCCTGCCCTCATGGATGGAGTCATTCAATCATTCATGGTTAGTGGATTGATGGGTTATCATGGGAGGGGAGCTGGTGGCTTCATAAGAGGAAGAGACCCCTGAACTAGCACGTTAGCACATGCAGCCCCTCGCCACATGACCAGTGGGAAGGCTGTCACCCTGTGGCCTCTTGGCCCTGGACTTCTCAGCTGCCAAAGTCATTTTAGAAGCAGCTGTGAAAAGTAAGTTCCTTTGCTTTATCAGTTACTCAGTTTCAGATATTCTGTTTATAAGCAACAGAAAACAAAGATAATAAGCGAGCCTACCTTTGAGGGTGTTGCTGGGAGAGGGCTGGATAAAGCTGTGAAGTGCCCAGCCTAGGCCCGTGCGCCGCGAAGGCCAAGTGCAGCGATGCGGCTGTGAGACTTCAGACCGTCGCTTCCTCAGTCTGGGCCTTGGTTTGTTGCTCTGTGGAGTGGGGGTTGGACTAGCTGATTCCTGGGGTTCCTTCTGAAACCCCAACTTTGTGAGTCCATGACATGAAACTCAACGCCCCTGCCATGGTCCCTCCCTCCCCAGAGATGTTTAAGAGTCAGAAGCTCGTCTCCCTGGCTGCCCAAAGTGCAGCGAGCTCAGTTCCCGTGACTCTCCTGTTCTTTCCAGGCCGTCACACGTTTCACACAGAAGTCATTTAGCGAGTAAGTCTCGGTGAAAGGAAGGCATTTGTGTTTTATTAGCGTCTGTAATTGATCAGACCATGTCGTTAAACCCCTAAGAAGGCTTCAGGCCTTAGCTCCCTCAGCGGGGGCTGCTGTGAAGAATGCCGCAGATGCACAGATTAAACAGTAGAAATGGATTTCTCACAGTCCTGGAGGCTGGAAGTTCAAGATCAAGCTGCTGGCCAGTCCTGTTCCTAGTGAGGTCTCTTCCTGGCTTGCAGACGGCCGCCTTCTTGTATCCTCAGATGAGGGGGGACAGAGAGTGAGCAAGCTGTCTTCTCTCTTCTTACAAAGGCACTAACCTCAGCATAGGGCTCCGCCCTCACAACCTCATTACCTCCGAGTCCTCACCTCCTAACACCGTAGGGGGTTAGAGTTTCAACATCTGAATTTTTATAAATATTCAGATCATAACAGGTCTGCACCTGGGGTCCATGTAGGTCACTTTTATTTCCAGCAGAATAGTGGCCGTCTGTACCACCATCACACCAACCTGTATGCAGGCAATCCGTATATGGCTTTCCACAAATGGCTTTATTCTGTCCCCAAATGGCATTTATTTTAATTACTTACTGTATGTGTGATTAATGCATTCTCATGGTTCAAGATAAAAACAACCAAGAAACTCCCTGCTGGCTCTGTGCCCAGCCTCCCACAACCTCACCAAGAGCAGCCAACGTGACCAGTTTCATGTGGGTCCTCGAGATATTTTATGCAGCTACAAGCAATTGCATGTGTATTTCCTGTTTGGCGTGTTAGCACACCATACACACATTGTTCTCCGCCTCATTTTTGTGTAATAAGCTGGAGACATTTCCATATCTCCAGGAGGAAGGAGATACGAAAATCATTTCTTTTTGCATGGGTGCCACAATAGCCAATAGATTGCCTCGTTTTTTGATGGTGAAAGACACATAACATGAAATTCACCATTTAACTATTTTACTGGTAAGTGTACAGCTCAGTGATATTAAGTACATTTGCATCATTGTGCAGTGGCCACCATCAGCCTCCAGACCTGTTTTTTTGTTTTGCAAAAGCAAAACTCTGTCCCCGTTGCACACTGACTGCGGTTCTCCCTCCCCTCAGCCCCTAACGCCCACTAGTCTATTGCCCGTCTCTATGCATATGACTACTCTAAGAAACTCATACAGGGGGCGAGGCACGGTGGCTGACACCTGTAATCCCAGCACTTTGGGAGGCCGAGGCGGGCAGATCACAAGGTCAGGGGTTCGAGATCAGCCTGACCAACATGGTGAAACCCCGTTTCTACTAAAAATACAAAAATTAGCTGGGCGTGGTGGTGTATACCTGTAATTCCAGCTATTCAGGAGGCTGAGGCAGGAGAATGGCTGGAACCCAGGAAGCAGAGGTTCCAGTGAGCCAAGATCGTGCCACTGCACTCTAGTCTGGGTGACAGAGCGAGAGTCCATCTCAAAAACAAAAAGAGACTCATACAAGTACAATCATTTGTCCTTTTGTGACTGCCTTTATTTTTGAGATGGAGTCTTGCTCTGTTGCCCAGGCTGGAGTGCAGTGGCACGATCTCGGCTCACTGGAACCTCTGCTTCCTGGGTTCAAGCCATTCTCCTGCCTCAGCCTCCTGAGTAGCTGGGATCACAGGCACGCGTCACCACAGCCCACTAATTTTCTTTTATTATTATTACTATTGTGTTTTTAGTAGAAACAGGGTTTCACCATGTTGGTCGGCTAGTCTTGAACTCCTGACCTCAGGTGATCCACTTCCCTCGGCCTCCCAGAGTGTTGGGATTACAGGTGTGAGCCACTGTGCCCAGCCTGTGACTATTTTATTTTACTGAGCATATCGTCTTCAAGATTCATCCACGTCGTAGCATGTGTCAGAATATCCTTCCTTTTTAGAGCTGAATAATATTTCGTGTGCGTAGCAACTACGTGGTGTTCGTCCATTGACCTGTCGGTGGATGTCGGGGTGATTTCTACCTGTTGGCTGTTGTGAACAGTGCCACTGTGAACATGAACGTGCAGATTTCCTGGTTTCCCCAGCACTGCCAGTGTTCCACGCAGCAGAAGCGTGTACACCTGCTCTCCAGGGGCACATGTCGGTAGCGTCCGTTCCTCACTAGCCAGCAGCTGCAGCAGTGATCTGTGCACAGGTGACTGCCCGTGTACAGCTCTATCTGTAGGGTACAGTTCTGGAGGTGAATGCCTGCATCAAATGGAACGTGCGTTTGTACCTTGGTTACCCCATGTCTCTAAGGCACTTTACTTTGGAGCTATTAGAAGCTGCTTTCAGATAAGTCTTGCAGGTGCGGGGAGGGTTCGGGTGTCTGTCAGGCTGGAGTCATGGAAAGAGTTTGCCCATTTCCGACCTTGACCTCCCTTGGGGTTACATCTTTTTTTTTTTTAAATCATACTTTAAGTTTCGGGGTCCATGTGCAGAACATGCAGGTTTGTTGCATAGCTATGCAAGTGCCATGGTGGTTTGCTGTACCCGTCACCCCGTCGTCTACATTAGATATTTCTCCTAATGCTCTCCCTCCCCAGCCCCCGCCTCCCGACAGGCCCCGGTGTGTGATGCTCCCCTCCCTGTGTCTGTGTGTTCTCATTGTTCAACTCCCACTTCTGAGTGAGAACATGCAGTGTTTGCTTTTCTGTTCTTGTGTTAGTTTGCTGAGTATGGTGGCTTCCAGCTTCATCCACATCCCTGCAGGGTACATCTTTAAAGGCGCCGAATTTCCACTTTGGAAATGGAAAGTGACGGACGCTAGAGGGCGGGGTTCTCCTGCTTTTAGGCAGAGCAAGGGCTCAGTCCAGTCCTCTGCTTCTGCAACTCCAGAGATGATTATTTGGGACCACTGGCTGGGGAAGAAAGTCAGTGCTTCCCACGGGGTACTGCACAGGACAAGGAACAAGCATTGGAGATGAGGGACTTGGGGACTCGGAGACGGAAGGCATTGCCTTCACCTTGGGCTTTTCATCTCAGGCCCCATGGAGATAGGCCATGTTGGTACTTACAATTTCTTTTAAACGGATCATGGCATACAGTAAGTCCTCAATCTCATCACAGGTTCCTGAAAACTGACTTTATGCGAGACAACATACAATGAAACCAATTTTGCCAAAGGCTAATTGATATAAACAAAAGTTAAATTCCTACGGCATTTTTCTGTTCTCAAAACATCACCAGAACAGGCGCAGTGCTTCACACCTGTAACCCCAGCACTTCGGGAGGCTGAGGTGGGCAGATGGCTTGAGGCCAGGAGTTCAAAACCAGCCTGAGGAACATGACAAAACCCTGTCTCTACAAAAAATACTCCCCAAAATTGGCCAGGAAAGGTGGTGTGTGCCTACAGTTCCAGCTCCTTAGGAGGCTGAGTTGGGAGGATCACCTGAGCCTCAGAGGCCAAGTCTGCAGTGATCTGCCCCACTCCAGCCTGGGTGACAGAGTGAAACCTTATTTCAAAAAAAAAAAAAAATCCACAAAAAACGAAAAACACCATCAAATTTCTAAAAACCCAAACATTTCTAATATGAAACGTTGAAATAAATGTAACCATCCCTACATGTAGAGGTAGCTGCACCGACATAAGAAAGATCAGTGCAAACAAGTGAGAGAATTATCTACAAAGTGTGTGGTGGGGGTGGGGGTGGCACTGACATCCAGGGGTCTGTGTCCGCAGAGCGAAAGCCTTGG